GAAATTACCTCAAAAACTAATGGTGGGAAGGAACAGAGGAAGACAACTGTGGCCCTCTACCTTCCACATGCATGCACAAACATGTGCATGTGTCTCCTAGCATACACACACAAACAGGTACATGTGCATATACTTCACACACATGAACACACATTCACCCACACAAAGAATAGAGAATTTTACTAAAACTTGCTTATATTATCCAAAACCACTGTTTTTGAAGAGATTCACCTAGGAAGATGTTGTGTGTTAGTGATTCGAGCTCTCGGGATGCTGAGGCAGGAGGATGATGAGGTGAGGATGGCTTGGGCAATTTAGTGAGAACCTGTCTCATAATGGAAACAAAAAGAACTGAGTGTAGCTCAGCAGTAGAACCCTGAAACCTTTTATCATGAAGAATAAGGTAAAATGTTCTTTAAAGATTAAACATCTTAAAAATCAGAGAGTAGATTCATCTTAGTCTCCTAAGGACTAACCCATGTTCTCCAGCCACTAGTTCCTAAAATCAAGGAGATACTGAAATGTATTTCGTTTTCATTTAATCAGTGTGTTTTTGGAGCAGACAGATTGTGTTCTTTGCCATTTATAAACTCGAGAATCTGGGGGCTGGAGAGATGGCTCAGTGGTTAAGAACACTGGCTCTTCTTGCAGAAGACCCAGGTTCAAATCCCAGCACTCATATGGCAGCTAACAACTGTCCATAACTCCAGTTTTAGAGACTCCAACAGCCTCTTCTGTCCTCCATGGGTATTGCATGGCACGGGTGCACTTACCTACATGCAGACAATAGACACATACATGTAAATAAAAATAATAAATAAAATATTAAAAAAACTCAAGAATTTAATTTAGACTGCAATAATTTAATGAGATGGTACAACAGCCTTTTATATAAACTCATCATCCTTATCTTTCCCAAAGAACAAAAAGTCCTGCATGCCATAATCACTGTAGTTTTCTTTTCTGTAAAGTTTTCATTTAAATTTCTATAGCTTACCCTGGATTATACACCTTCTGTCAAAAGACAGCGTGGACAGTTTACTTATAAGAACATATAGATGCTATTGTAACTTTTGAATGAAAATTAATGTCTCTCCATGTTAAATAGAAACCTGAATCCCTGTAATATCCCTTTTCAGGGGATTCAAGCATATCACTCACATGTGTCTCCTGTTTTGTTTTTAAAGTTGAAACATTTGGTTTGAGTTTCAGAATTTATCTAAGTCAAAAATGCCCCCTTTCCCCCATCTCCTCTTCCTCCTCCTCCTCCTCTTCCTTTTCCCCTTCCTCCTCCTCTCTCTCCTCTCTCCTCTCTCTCTCTCTCTCTCTCTCTCTCCTCGCTCTCCTCTCTCCTCTCGCTCCCCTCTCTCCTCTCTCTCTCCTCTCTCTCTTCCTTTTATTTTTTGGAGAACTAGAGAAGGAGAATGCACTATATAGTTTGACTTTCAAGAATTATGTATTTCAAGAAGCTAGGAGGAAGTCTGTCAGTGTAGCTCAGTGGTAGATCTCTTGTTTAACATATGCAAGGCCATGAGTTCAGTCCCCAGTATGGGGTGGGTGGTGGCCAGAGATGAGTGTGAATGGTCCATCATTGGAAATGATATGTATGATATATGCCTGAGCAAATAGGTGTGTTTGGACTGACCTAGATTGATGGCATGATGTATACATAAAGAGACCTGTCATACGGTATTCCTTTAATGTATCCAACTTTCTCATTTTTATCGGTAATAAATTTAAATTAAGAAAAAAATGAAAATATTTATTTTTGGCTTATTGTTATGTGGTACATTTATATGAAAACAGATTCAGTTCATAAAAAAAAAAAAACCTCAAATGCACTGCTCACCAAGTTCATTTGCAGAAGACATATGCCATGTAGTGGACCTGAAAGTATTGCTGAGACAGCTGTATGCTGAATGGAATGGACGATTGGCCCCTGTGTGCACTGGTCGGGGTGGTACCACTGCTGTTTCGGTGTCTATGGCAGGTCTAAGAACCTGTCCTAACAGTGTCTGATTGGGGGAGCCCACACATTGCTGCCCACTGGAGCCCCTTTCACAGCTCAGTTTCTCTCTACCTCTTCTTCTCTCCCTCTTCCTTTTTCTACTACTAGCCTGCTTGTTTGTCTAGGCTATGTGGTTTACGATCACCTTTCTGAGGAGATTATCAAGTTGGTCAAAAACTGTCTATATAAAAGAACAAAGTTTGGTGGCAATAACCTCATAGCCTATTGGTCTACTTTCTTATCTCTGTAGAAGTGTTTCTGCCTTTTGAAGTGGGACAGTTATTTACTATGTTAATCTATCCCAAACATCACCATATATTCACACCCTTGGCCCTAGTACTACATGCTGATGCACCTGCCCCTTAAGATACCGTGGCAACCTCAAACCCTCTCTCTCTGGTCCATTGGGTGAGACTTTGAGGGTCTTGTGAATTCTTCTTTCTTAAGACAGGAACAAAGAGAAAGATTTCTCACATAACTGTCATGGAAATTTGTCCTTAAAAACTCCAACTTTGGAACTAGAGAGATGGTTCAGTGGTTAAGAGCACTAACTGCTCTTGCAGAGGACCAGGGTTCGGTTCCCAGCATCCACATGGTGGCTAACAACTAACTCCAGGGGATCCAATACCTGAACTCAGTGGGCATTGCATGACACGGGTGCACTTATATACATGCAGGCAATACACTCATACACATAAAATAAAAATAAGTAAAATATTTAAAAAACACCAACTTTTTGATTGGAGAACATACTTGGGAATATGTAACTATGATCTTTGATTTTTTCCTAGTGGGACATTACCTGGAGAGAGGAAAATAAACCAGGTCCTATTTATAAAAATAAACACAGATTTATTCTATGTTAAAGACATATCTAGGTGTTTAGCCATTATGAAACATGTTATTGGTCTTAAAATGATATTAAGAATTCACTGAATCAATTGAAGTATTATTATGTAAGATCTGAAGAGTACTACCCTAAGAATTAAGGTATAAATGTAGCATTTTAGAACCTGGATTTATAACCTTAATTTTGCATTTCACACGAGCAATAGTTTGAACAGTTTACTACTTCACAACCTCCAAAAGTTCACCTGAAGACTAATGTACTTACAGTAACAAACAGAAACATTAAAAAATTAGAGAAAATCTTTAGATTATACTAACATTAACAAAAAATACATCATAAAGTGTCTTGAACATCTAGGTTTCAGATCCCTGAAGGAGCAGTTCTTAAATGTTGTGTGCAACCAAAGGGCAGAAGGGGTATGCAGACTCTTCTTCTTCTAGATAAAATGTAAGGAGCTTTCTTCTTTGATCTGTGGGGGACTCACACTGCCTGTCTAGGAACAACTAGAAATATGGCAAGGAAAGCAGTTCTATTGACATTGAGTGTTTGATGATCAGTGATCTAAAACTAAATTTTGTACATCATGCAGAATGGTTGTGTAAAGCAGAGCACAAAAGCACTCAGGTCCTGCATGAAAGCCATAGTCTGGATTGGGAAACACTGGTACACATCTAACAGACACAAACCTCAAACCCGTTCTCTGGGACAAAGGGAAAGTTAGCCATCAGTTTCTTCTTGAAGTCAACAGCAGTCAGGTGCACATGAAACCAGGGATGCTGCTCACCTGTCTTCTGGGTTTCTCTACACTTGTGGGTCAACAATGTCCATTCAATACTTTCTAGACAGAGCAGGGAAAAATCTTGGCAAACAAAGTTAGAGAAGAACCATTCAATACAGCCTCTGAAATAATGCTCAGGTTTCTTTGAAACAATTCTTGTACATCTTCCTCCATCTCCTTCCATCTCTGCTTGTATGCTGAACAACTAGATGAAATGGCCTGTCAAATAGTTCTCAGATTAAAACCTCCCCCAGCCAGTCTGATTCCTCACCCCCACCCCCATGCTGGCACTTCTGGAGTGTCCTTTACTCCACATTATTTGTATATCCCCAAAGCTTCAAGGAGCATTTATTTCCTGTCACACTACCCTTTTGTTACCACACCAAGATGTTTTAAAGGAACAGAAGTACCATTCCCATCTTTGTATTGTCCATGGTATGTGACACAGCACCTGGAATACATTGGCTCTTAAGTTTCCATTGAAATTTTGGTTCCTAACTCTCAAGAATAAGGACCCAGGCTTCTAAAAGATGTTTTGCTTACTATTTCATTCCAAACTCTTAATTTCATCTTTCTCTGGATTTCCAATATAGTATTACTGAAAGGAAGAGAACACTTACAATTTCTGTTTCTGGTGATTTGCTAAAGTTGCAAACTCTGCTCTTTCATTAGCCCATTGAGCATGCTACTGGGTGGGCACAATACTAAGCACAATACTAAATGGTGGCAATAGCTCAGTAAGTCCACAAGCAATTGTTTATTTCTCACTGAAAACAACTCCACAGTTTATTTGTAGCAAATTACAACATGATGTATAATGAATACTTGGGACTTACAAATTTTATGATGTACCCGGGGCTTATATCCTAATTTCTATACAAATAGTTTGAGACCCATCACAAGATTATAGGAAAGTCCTTTGTACTTAATGGAAGTTTCCTAGTATAGGCCATGAATCTTACAGCAGATCTTTCAGGAAAAACACATGGAAAAGAAAGAGATACACACAGAGATAGATGGTGCTATAAAATTGCACTAGTTTGCATACAATGGACACTTTGCTTCTGAATTAGACTGAATTCCGATGATCCCTGGAGTCCCTCTCAGCCTTTTAGCAAACTACTTGATTGAAGACCGTTTTCAAATGAAAGGACGTTCAAACAGACTAAAATCACAATTTCTTAATATTTTATAGGAATGAGTCTGATATGCAAATGTCTTGAATTATAATGTCTTAAGCAACCAGTGTTATTTATTCTTTTATTACATACCCACAGGACTTCTGCCTGCAAACCCCCAGCGTTCTTCAGAAGCAGCATCAACCCTGAGAGCATCATACCCTGACAATGTTTCAATACATTATTTTTTATTTCTTCTTACCATTTTAAATAAAGAATGAAAACCATTTATCATTTCTTTTCAGTTACATAGAACTGGGATACTACTATGTAACAGAAATCACCATACTAATGCACAGGAATTGAAAGTCAAACCACTTTGGTCTAGGTTGAATAGAATTAAGTCTTGACCTTGTAAACATTTCCACAGGAGGTAGAACATAGACATTTGACTTTTTGTCAAATAAAGAATAGTAAACAATGATTATGAGATCCTAATAAGTTAAAGACATTGTGAAGGCATTAAATATAGTTCTCTCTCTTTCTTTAGAAACCAAAGATGAAGGAACATAGAAATTTTTCAATAAATTAGAATGTAAAATATTAAATCTTTGAAATACCTGCATCTTCAAATCTCCACTGGTTTCATTTGATTGTATTTGGAAACTATTATTAATGATGACAACACATTTTAGATTGTGTGCAATGCAAATTGTACAAGTAACTCCGTTCACTGTGGAGTTGTCCACAGCATCCGTGACTTGAAAAATGCCCAGCCATATTCCACTGTCTCTGTTCTCATGGAGCCTGGGTGGGTAATGCCATTAGTGCAGTGGGGATTTTGAGTTTCAACTGCACTCCGCATTGCTGATTTAAGTGCCTCCAGCGGCTGTTCCCATGAACACAGTGTTTATGGGTGGTAAAGAGGACACCATTTCTCTACTGCCTGCCCCATGAGAGTCCAGAGTGTCTTGCGTTGGATACTGATTGGAAGCTCCATACATGCACTGCGATGAGGATGAAGGAATTGAGGTTTGCAAATTGGGAGCTGCAAGGGAAAATGTAATCAACAATTGAAAACAAGTTGACATATTCTTTTCTCCACAGCTGCCACTCACTTTAAACTTCCATTTTTTTTGCATTTAGCACATACATTCACCTGTTTTAAATGTGAGTGTACATGGTTTGTCAGAACAATCATCTTCTTCCCATTTTTTTTCTCATTTGTTACCCTTCAAAGGTATTTCTTCTACATATTCTACAGAGGACACTATCATATTGCATTCTGTCACTACAATGTGTCTCCAGTCTACTTCTTTTTGTCTGCGCCTCCACAATTGTAGTTCAAGCCACCATCTTCTTTTCTCTGGACCAACACAGCAGCCTTATGCCTCTTGCCTTTGTCTCACACCCTCCCATGAGAAGAGCCAAAAGGACCTTGCTGATACATAAAACAAACTTTTACTCTTTCTCAGATGACCATGATCATATACCTTAGAACAAAACCCAGTCTCCTTGCCCTGGTTCATAATATCCCACAAAGATGGATTCCTGCTTCTTTGTTTTACTTTGTCCCCTCTCTCATTCATTCCCTGTGCTTCGTCAAAACACACTGATATTCTTTCTGCTTGCTGAAATTTTCAGCCTTTTTCTGATCTGAGTGGTTCTGTAATTGTTTCTTCTATCTAGATCTTCACAATCAGATCTTCGCATTGTTATTCCTGTATTACCCAGCTCACAACTCAAATGTTCCTAGCTCTAAGCCCTGACCTTGAATAGCTAGCTCCTACATTACCAAATCTGCACAGTTCAGAGAACCTAAAATTATCTTTTAAAAAATTATTTCTTTAGGTCAGCATACCAGTTAATGGGCGTCATCACAGCACTTTCACACGCCTGTATCGTTTGTTCATTTGTTCTCTTCCCCAGCGGCCCTTTCTCACACTCCTTCCACTAGCTGCTTCCCTTTCTTCCCCTAGCTAAACCCAATGTCTGCTTTCTTAGCATATTCATTTTTTTACGTGCTCTGTTTTCCACTTTCCTTAAGATATCGTCCTCCTTTCTCATGATCCCCTTTCTAATTTCATAACTTATACAGACATACACACACACACACACACACACACACACACACACCAAAATTCCACATATGAGAGAAAATATACGGCATTTGTCTTCTGATAAAATCTATCTTCATAATGTGTTTTATATGCTCTTTGCCTTGCTCCCCACCTACTAGAACATGAACTTCCTCCAGGCAGGAACTATGACCCGATTACCTCCAGAGCCTCATGCCTAGAGTAGAGACTGACACAAAACATCTCTAAAATACTTCACTAACATACACAGGAGGTCTACTTTTCTTCTTGTACGGTTGTTATCTTCTCACTGCCAAAGCAGTGTATTCTCTGTTTCTAAGGATCAGGCTTTGTAATAAATGAGGACTTAACGAGTCCCAGGCCCCACTGTGCTTAGTCACTAATGAGTCCCAGGCCCCACTGTGCTTAGTCACTAATGAGTTCCAGGCCCCACTGTGCTTAGTCACTTACTCTCTTTCCTCTTTCACCCTGAAGCCCAGTTTGCATTCTGCCTATTTGCCAGCTCTGACAGCTAAAGCTTAGAATCCACTCTCTTTCCAACCCATGTTCCATCAAAGCTTCCATTATCTCTACAAGTAAACAGAGCTAATAGTCACAATAGCAACACAGTGCGTTTTAGCCCGATGGTGAAGAAACTTCCTGAAGTGGAATTTTCAGCTTCATTAGAGTAACCTAGAAGCAATGACTATTAGCAGATAGCAGATGAGTTGCTACTGCTCAGGGTGCGTTTATGATGGTCACAGGAAAGGAAGAAGTACTTCCCATTGAATTATTGGAAAAGTACACTGAGTGATGAGAGATGGAATTTATTTCATTTTCCCTTATGCTTCCATTGGATGTCAAAGCCCATCACTTCTGCTAGTTTAAAAATCATTCCATTGGGGCTGGAGAGATGGCTCAGCGGTTAAGAGCGCTGACTGCTCTTGCAGAGGACCCGGGTTCAATTCCCAGCATCCCCATGGTGGCTACGAACTGTCTTTAACTCCAGTTCCAGGGGAGTCCGAAGCCTTCTTCTGACCTCTATGGCATTGCATGACACCGGTGCTTTCACATACATGCAGGCAATACACTCATATACATAAAATAAAATTAATAAATAAAATTTTTTAAAAGTCAGTTCCATTGAAGATTTCAATTGTCTCACATAAACACTCTTCCTTGATAGAATGTATACTTGTCCTGTGATATCTCATTACTAATTTATGAAACCAAATTTATACATAGATTTAATTTCAAACCCCATGCTATCAGAAATAACATACTAATTAAAACAGACTAAATGTATGCATAAGTTTAAGGCTGGCTGTTTGGTGCTAGAGGTCAACCCAGGGTTTCATACATGCTAACCACTGCTCTTTGAGCTATACCTGAACCTTGTTTTCACTCCCTTTTTCACTCACCAACTTACTAAGTTCCTACTATGTAGCCAGCACACAAAAGCTCTAAGTACCAGTGATGCATCTAGCATAAGTTGTAGAATTTCTTCAGAGATGAGGCTCAAGTTAGAAGAAGCTAGACAGCATTGTGGCAAGCACAGCGATTTGCTCCTTTTTTATTGAATTATATGCTATATAACAATAAAAATAGTGACAGTTCTACAAAGTTATTCAATTGCATTCTGCAAATGAGTGAGAAACTTCTAGTTGCTTTTGTAAACACTCAGAGTGGTTTTGGGTGGAGATTATGGGTTCCAAAGATAACTCTTAGCACTGCCAGTGGGTCCAACAGTGATTAAGAGAGAATGAGAAAAAGGCATCATTCTTGTCCTCATAAAATTCACTGTCCTTTGAATGCCTTCGAAGGCTATACTAATTTTTGCATGCATAGTAGATACCAGTTATTGATTTTGGAAAGAATAACAGCTCTTGAAGTAGGTTGTGTACTAACGAAACAAAGAATGAGAAATGAACATTACTGTTTACTCAAACAAAACGATGATTTCAGACTCAGTGATAAATTATCTTAGGAATATGCATGCCTAATTCACCTGAACATTCTTCTCCAGGTCATGTCTAAGGTTCATCAATTCTTAAAATGCTTTTTAAGGACAACTAAAACAATTTACCTACTACCGGAGTCCGACATGCAACTGGAGAGGAAGTGTCTGTATAAAATGAGTTGTTCTGTTTTCTGCTGCTGTCATCTAAAATGTTCAGTGGATCGTGGATGTCACTGTAGGGAGGCAGGGAGCGCACGCTGCTGATGACGGAAACATGCTGGTTCACCATTGCTCCAATCCTATGAGCCTCTGGGTAGTTAATATTGTTTCCATAGTAACCTAAAACAGAAAAAATTGAGAATGTGCTATCCACTTATTATTAGAAAATTATTCCACAAAGGGAAAAAGGGACAAGATAATTGAGTATATCCCTAAATACATCAAATGATATATGTTATATCTATATCTACATTAACTAGAGAATTGGATTTATACTCATATAGTTTACTATACTATTTTTTAATTTAAAAAGGAATTAGCATATTCTTGATTTTGAGACAGACTTTATTTTTATCATATTTTCCTTATCTAAATTAATTAATCCTGCCTATGAGGCAAGACAAAAAGCATTATCAGTCTTTCATATTATATTACTTTTCAAATATAATTTTTATTTATAGAATCATGTCCCTGGGAGAAGGACTGGTCTATATTTAGGAGAAAGGCTTCAAAGAAACTTACACTGCCTATTTCACCTGTTTATGATACAGAGGTCTTTCTAGGACCTTAACATGTAGTTTTTTGTTTTTATTTTGTTTTTGTTTTTTTAGTTTAACAGAGAATACAAGTTTTGGAACCAGTGTTTAATTCCCTGGAAGACACAGTCTCCACTAAAAATAGTTTCAAAGGACAAGGTGTAACATTTTTAAAATCATGTATGATATTTAGGAGGGAAAATTTAATAAAGACAAAAGAATTGGGAAATATGTTTGAGTAAGGCAGGCATCAACTTCAAAAGTCTAAGATTCCATGAATTTTATAATCCCTGTACTGGTTAGCATGGTACTCAGCAAAGGTGAAACTTGGTGTCAGATTCTGCTTTATGGCCTTTTCAAAAGCCAGAAAAGTATCTTTAAAAGTCTTATACCATTGGGCGAATTAGAAGGCAGTGTTGCTCCTTGGCAGCCACCAGCGCCTGCATTGTTAAGGAAATTGAAGCCTCCTGTGTTCAAAAACTGCATACTGTGGGACTCCTGAGCCTGTGGGGACGGTCCATAGTTGGAAGGTGGTCGGGAATTATATGGAGATCCAGCACAACTGCCACTAAAGAAGTCTCTAGACAGCTGCTGTTCAGCCCAGGTCATGCATCGCCCATGCTCTGCACGATGAGAATAGAGGCTTGATGCTGGGTGGGGCTGTGTCCTAAACACAGTCTGATAGTTAGAATTGGTCCCATAAAAGTCATGGTTGGTTTGAGGGAGGGTAGGATAAATTGGCTCCGGATATGCTGAGCAGTGTGTTGGAACTGAAAGAACTGAGCCCACACTTGGGGGTCTCCCTGCCATTGGTCCTTGGTTAATGACACTCCCTCGGCTTGCCATGGCTGGAGAAATAGGTGGTGTTATCAGATGGCCAGTAGTCTGTGAAAGCTCCATTTGACCTGGAAAAAAATGTGAGTGCATTCTGTTAGTAGTTAAAAATATTCAAATGATTTACTAATGTTCTTTTTTTGATCTTTAGTAAAAGAAACATGTTAATTAACTAACTAACTAATGTTAAACCGCCCATTGTTTCGAGAGGCAACTGAAAACATGCAAACACCACTGGTGAGCAATGGGGTTTACTAATGCCTCCAACTCCATGAGACCTGTGGCTTTCCATTGGCATAAAAAGACCATAGTATGATAAGGCTATTCTAGTTTTAAAGTTCTGTCCATCCAATGAATTAATGTATATAATGAGGTTTCAAAAAAGTTATGGGGAAATAAGCAGATTTAAAATATTCTCCAATATCTAATTCAAGTCACTAAAGATTCATTTTGGCACAAAGGAGACACTAGTACAAAGCATAAAATTATTGTAATAGCTATCCCCCAAAGGATGAATTTTAATGACAGAAGAATTTTGCCCAAAACACAAATCAAATAATCAGCTCAGCCCATTTTTTTAAAAGCAAGGTCTTGCTTAATCCAGTTTGGCTTAATCCAGTTTGGTCCTCCTACTTAAGCCTCTTGGATGATTGGAATACAGGTTATAAGCTACCATGTCTGCAAAGCAACCCACTTTTTACTATTAAAACATGTTCGTGGTTTTATGCATACCTAACCTAGATTTCTCTTCTAATAAATGAAGAGGGCTATTCATACTTCTGGTATAAGTTATTAGATGTCAATGTGTGCTAACTATATTAGTAATAGTTTAAAGGTGAATGGTAAACACCATTATAAATCACAAATATAAATCTCATAAACTTAAAAATTATGTTCTATAATTTGAAATACTTTTATTCCTAAGCTTCCTGGAGGTTGGGGTCCTCTGAGATGTGCTGAAGTCTGAATGGTTCTTTGTTGCTTCACGGTATACCTGGAAGTGGCATGCTATCAGTGTTCCCAGCCAGGAATGGGTGCAGAGCAGGGGGCAAGCCTCCAGGCTGACTGGAAGACAGAGGAGCAGCATAGGTTGACTCCAGCTGACTTTCATTCTTCACAGCATCACTGGAAACTGAACTCCCTTTATTACGGTTGGCCAGAAAGCATGAACTCGGGGAAGCAGTGAAGGCAGCTTTACTTGCATCTGGAAGGAGTTTTTAAAGTGAGAATGGAGATTATTCCCATATTCTTAGTTGACAAGTTCAAGTAAAAGACACTGGAATTGGTGCCTGGTTGAATAACAAATCTGGATACTCTTCTGTGGTATGTTCTACAAGAAATGGGCCAACAAACTGCCTCTTAACTGTAGTGCTGGTTTCTCTTAGTTGAGTATTTGTGGGGATATATTCTGAAGGGCAGTAAACGATCCGTTGTAGGGTAAACAGCCCTCAAAATGCAGGTTTCTCATTCAGAACAGATGTTTCCTCCTTTCTCTAAACTCTGTAGAATTATTTCTATGTAGCGTAGTTATGTAGTATGCTATATGTGTTATCTTGAACTACAATTAGTTATACAATTAGTTATAGACACTTCTCTAACTTCATCTACAGTCTCAGAAATTGAAATATAATTTCTGAAAGCTTCAACAATGAGTCTTTCTATAAGAAACAGTGTATTTCAAAATGAAATGGAGATCTTTTTTAAAGGTTAAAAACTCCTTCAATTTTAGGTCTCACAGGGTTTATACTGAGTTCAATATTCTATAACTGTATTAATTCAATTGTGAACCTAAAAATTTTATAGCCACTTTTCAAAGGTATATCTTTGCTCTGGAAATTGTTATTGAGTATGTTAAAGCTGTAACAAAATGCTTCTAAAAAATAAAAAATAAACAAATAAAAGTAGAAAACTTCAAATTTCCATGAAAGAACTTTGAGCTCTTTGTGTATAAGTGGGGATGAAAAGTAAGCACTCCGTTAGCACGCTTGTGGTGTTAGTGGCGGTGTGCTTCGAGGAAACCTCTGACAACTACAAATCTACTTGGGCACTTGAAACTCTTAAACTAAGTTTAAACAAAAAAATATGAAAAGCATAATAAATGCTTTAAGTTACCTGAATTCTTCATGTATTTGTCCAATAAATTCTGTAACTCCTGCTCTTTGTCATTATTAAATTGAGTCTCCATGGCCAGGAGAATATATTCATCAAGAAGCATCCGGATCAAGTGGAAAGAACCTTGTTTATGGACAAGGAAAAAAGAGGGTGTGGGTATGCGGAGAAAATGGGGGCGGGAGAAGAAAAGGAAAAGAGAAAAAAAGTCGTTATCTTTGTGACCATCTCGCCACACTTTACAAGGAGCAACTGAAATAAACAAGTGCTTGTTGGACTTTAAATGACCTTCTAAGACCAATATGCTTAACTTCAGTCTCTAATCTTTCTGTGTACCTCCTGCCCAGCTCCCTGTGTGTATTGTCCTGCCAGCTCTTTGGCCACTAATTACATCAAAGGAAATACGGATGAAAGTGAGACATGCTTTATGCTTTAAGAGAGCACACAGTGGCGCTTATCAAGCGGTAGCCTGGGGAGAATGAGCTCTCTTCTGCTCGATTTCTGTTTGCTCTGTACTAAATAATTAGACAATGGCCAACAGGGTCTGAAAATTGTATCATGTACGGTGTCTTTCTAGCTTGAACCATGCTTGATTTAAAAATAAGAGTGAGTGAGTAATTTTCATGTGAAAGATATACCTGAAAATTTCAAACATTTTTAGACTATTCAACAGATATCCTAACAGAAGTCTTTTCTCCATAATAAAAGTCAAGCTGTCAGTGTATTTTTAGAAAATTGAAATATGAGCAAGACTATTTCAAATAATATAGCATTTGTTGATCTTGCAAATGCTGATTTTTTTATTTAATTCCATTGAACCTTAAATAAAAAGTTAATTCATCATAATCTATTTTATAATGTGAAAATCTCTTGAAATGCAACTCATTGTCTATAAGTTTTACATTGTTATTAAAATTAGGAATCTCAGAAAATTCAGGGCAAAGAAGATACCCAGTTTTTGAAAAACCAATTTGACCAGTTTATTTTGGGAGTCTTAGAGACCAGACAAGTCAGTTTAGACTTAGGAGAGTGCCTTCTGAGGTACACTCTGATTCCTGGAGTGTGGCTCTCTGGGTACCAGGGAAAGATGCAAAGGCCATGCTCTGGAGAAGAATGTCTCAATTATTGTCTTTTAAATTTCTTTGGTACAGAAAAATATATCCAAGCACTGCTACACATTGTTTAGAGTATAAAGTATCTTTATTTGTATCATCTTAGCAAAGTACCTAAAATTACAACCTTATGAATAGAATATTCCTCCTCTTCTTCAATGAGCAAGCTAGCTTAGGTAAAGTCACACACAGCCAGAGAAGCAGTGCTAGGATTTAATCTTGCCTGAGGTCAGATTCCCAAACTGTAGCTCATAATTACCATTCTCAACTCACTTGCTATTCAGGCATGTTTTGAGAAGGGAAAATAAATAATAAGGTGTTTAAAATTTGAAGGAGGATGTAACTAAGGAATGAATGAAAACATTCATAAGCTTTCCATAAAGCATGTTGGATACCAAAACTGGACGCGTTGTTCAAGGTGAGGTTATGCATTACTCGAGCACCAAAAAAACTCCACTTGAGCAGAAAGTCTTGAGCCCTCTTCTTTAAAGATCTTCCATTTTGCTTGCTGGTCTAAAGGTAAGAGAACAAAATACAACTGTAAAACCTACCATTTTGCTGCTGTATGCATCCTATTCTGTCGATAGGTAGACAGACTGCCTGAAAAATGGGCAGATGGCATGGCATGCTACTCATTTCATCAAATTAAATGGCTTGTCCAGGGATTTTAATGTTAGCTTGTGTTTTGTAATTTTAAAGATACCATATTTTTATTCTTTATGGCTTTCTTAATAGAAGTAAACAGTGAAATTAAATAATGTACATAATATTTTTGTCTTTAATTTTTTTGATAGAGCTTTAAGGACAGAAGGTAACGTGTGAAGCAAGGGTTATACATTTCTGTAAATGATTAACAGACTTCTCTGGTCTTGAATGATAGTCTGTTTTCCTTCCAGAACAAAAAGTCCCCAGACTATAAGTAGTTTCCTTGCTATGAGATGGCACACACTAACTAGTGATGGACTTATTTTTTCTCATTGCCTTGCTTCGTGATGGATGACTTGAAGGTTAACTGAAAGAGTTGAAGAAACCAACCAGAAAATGGAAAATAGTGAGTTTTTAGAATTCAGAATTGCAAATGTATAAAAATCATAGTTCTTGTCAGTATTTATGAAAATTTGCTTTTTCAGAAAGATCAAGATTCCAGTTTCTAAATTTATTTTAAATAATGTTGGTACTTAGGTATAGCTTTATAGGCTGACAGGAGAAAAAAACAGCATCTTGTAGCTTTTGGCTAAGAGAGGAGAACAGGGCTGTAGAGATGGCTCAGGTTAAGAGCATGTACTGCTCTTGTAGAGGACCTGAGTTTGGTTCCCAGCACCCACATCAGCTTACAACCGCTATAACTCCAGCTCCACAGGATCCAACACCTCTGCTATCTGAGGGTACCTACACTACATCCACATAGACACACATAATTAAAGTAAAATGAAAACACATTCTAAAGAAAAAAGGAGAAACAGAATTGGATCTATGCCGAATGCTTTTGAGGAAGGTCTACTCCTAATTTTTGTATTTGAGCTGTTCTATTATATAGGGCGTCAAAAACTTCACAAAGCATTTAAAACTTTCAATCTTAAAATTAATATGCAAGATACTGAATATCATTATGGCATTGGTGGGCAAAATGTATTTTAGTAGATTCTCCTTCCCAATCATTTCCCCCACCACACTGATCCCCTGGAGCTTCCCCCAAATCTAGGCTGGTGTCTGCATGTGAGAGAGAAGATGCGTCTTTGTTTTTCTGAGTTTAGGTTACCTCACTTAATATACCTTCCAGATCTATCCATTTCCTACAAATTTTACAATTTCATTTTCTTTACAGGGACTAGAATCCCCCCCCCTGCTATATATGTTCCACATTTTCATTATCCATTAATCTTTTGATGGACATCTAGGCTGGGTCCATTTCTTGCTATCATGAATAGACAAAACATTTTTTTAAACCACATAGCCTGCTACCTACATCAGTCAAAAAATTACAGTCAGTTTAACACTTTTTCTTAATCTTTTTTTCTGAATTAGGCATTAAAAAGTACCTTAATAACTCTCTGTTCTACCACAGTGTCCAACCATTCAATAAAAGCCTCCACAGTAGCATTCTTTTTAAGGAGATCCTTTAGTTCTTGGAACACAGTGACAGAGTCCTCTACCATGTTAAAAAAAAAAAAAAGAAGAAGAAGAAGAAAGAAAACAATATTACTAGTTGTGAAGAGGAAGGGGTCAGTGAAGTGGGAGGGAAAAGCAGGGGTAACTGCGAGTGAATATGATCAAAATACATTGTGTATATACGTGAAAATGTCATAATGAAACTCATCGATATGTATAATTAATATATGCTAATAAAAACTTAAAAATATATTACATCCACTTTGAACTGAAGATAAAATTGTGAGCTATAAATCACTAATATTTTATGACATTGAGAGGGAAATGCAAGTAGTTAAGTTAAATATGTGAAAGGAATTAATTTCTTATTCTGAGAACAGCAACAAAAATATTTAGGGTAATCATCAATGTCTCTTTCTTAGACTATACTGAAATAGAGATTCACATTTTGCAGGTATCTACACATATTTGAGGGGAGTAATTAATGTAACAGGCTATTACTTTTTAATTCAGTACTTTCATTACATGAAAGTAATTCATTAGATGATTTGAAAGTTAATGAATGAACCAAGCCAAGCGTGTTGATCTTCTGCTTTCTGAAAGATCCTTTATCTTCAGCAAATTAAGTTCTACACTAAAGAATTAACCCTTTCCATGGATATCCTTCTCTCATACGATTTGAAGGGACAGTTTAGGGTTATCATCTTACTAAAGAGTTTGAGGCATACTGAATCACTTTTCTATTAAAATAGAAAGTAGGAGGGGCTGGAGAGATGGCTCAGCAGTTAAGAGCACTGGCTGCTCTTGAGAAGGACCTGGCGTTCAGTTCCCAGAACCCACATGGTGGCTAACAACCTCCGTAACTCCAGTTCCAGGGGGTCTGACACCCTCTTCTGACCTCTGCAGCTATTACAATACTACATGCAGGCATCACACTCATACATTAAAATAAAAATAAATAAAATGTTTTTTAAAAAAGTTAAGTTTGGGGTTTGACTTCAGAGAGCAGTCTTTTGCTTGGGCTAGATCCTATAGGAAGCTGCAGGTTCTGTTTTATCAAAGGGAAAATGATGGCTATTAGCCCTTGGAAGTGAGCATAGTTACCTAGTCACACACACTGGCTTGGTCAGCTGTCAGATAGTCTAAACCCGTAGAGTCTATTTTGAATAGTATTGTGTTGAGACATCATTTTGATGTGCATCATACACTATACAATGGTGAGAGTATAGAATGCAGGCAAATGTGTTACTATGTAATGTAAAACTAAAAGAAAACTCAAAGCCATTTTGATTATTTTATCAAAATGAGTATTTATATTATGCTAATTTCTAGAAAATGAGATAATTAATTACTTTTATTTTCTTCAATACTTTTTTTTTGTTTGTTCTTTTAAGACAGGGTCTCCCTGTAGCCACAGATGGCCTAGAACTCACTATATAGACTGTGTAGGCCAGCCTACACAGCCTCTGAGTGTTGGGATTAACTCTTCTTAAACACAATACAATGTTTAAAATTAAAAATGTTTCTACAGAGTTTCTCATACAGATGTGAATTTGATGACAGTAACATTCAGCATCATGTAGAGACACTGTTGATTGTTAGACTGGAGAGAATGCTGCGGGTTGCATCTACTGCACAGAGGCCAACAATGCTGTTAAATATCCTACAATGAATAGCATCCCCTACACACAACCAATTATCTAACTGGTAGGTAAAGGTGTCAAAGGTAGAGAATTCTGTTGTTAACAAAGCAGACTCACGTTCACTGTACATGTCAGACTCAGTGTCTGTGCTGCCCGAAATGGTAAGAAGGGCCTGAGACCCAATACTATTTAAGTCAACCTTTTCAATATCAGACACCATAGAATTCACCACGTGCTGGTCAAAGAGAGCTGGTCTGGCGATCTGCACATTGGAATAAAAGGATACCGTAAAACATCACACTATATTAATTACAACCATCTGAAGGAAATTTTTAGCTTTAAGAAAAGTAGTTTCTTGAAGAAAAAGAATCATAAATCACTTTTTTCTTGTGTGTATGTCTGTATGTACATATTCATGTTGCGTATGTGCATGCATCCCTCTAACCCTATTTAGCCTGGAGCTCACTATGTAGACCAGGTTAGCCTCAGTCTCACAGAAATCCACCTGCCTCTGCCTCCTATGTGTTTGGATTAAAGGCATGCACCACAATGTCTGGCTCACCTTGTTTTTTGAGACACAGTCTCTCACTCAACCTGGAGCTTGTTGATTCAACTAGGCTGGCTGGTCAGAAAGCCCCAGGGATCCTCACCTCTCTGCCTCCTCAGCACTGACTGGGATTGTAGGTGTGAACTGCTGCATGCCTGACATTTATGTGAGTGCTGGGTTGAAACTCAGGTCTCCAAGCTTGCATGATAAGCATTTTAATGACTGAATCATCTCCACAGCTCAAACTTTTTCTTATTTTAAAAGTAAGCAATAACTGAAACTCATGTTCATCTCTGTAAAAGATTTGAAACTTCATTTTGGATTTAGAAAATGAGAATGATTTTTTAAAAAATTTTCATTTAGTAAGTTTTCTTTTTCTCAAAAATAACACATGTATGCTCATTGTGAATACTTCACACTTTCCATAATAAAAATTCTCCACAATACTCAAAATAACTCTCATTAATTGTTCTGTGTAAGGGACCATCATGGAAGAGGGGGTGGAAAGATTGTAAGAGCCAGGGAGGAGGTGCAGGACCATATGGAAACACAGTCCTACAAGCTCCTGAGATCCTGCTCATATGGTTTTATGGCATGGTGTCAGCATACACAAGTCCCATGCAAACTCAAGCAGACAAAAACCCAGCACAGAACTGGGGAAATGAACAGCAGACCACAATCTTAGCTGAAGAAACATTGGCAATTGATTGCTACTTGATGAGGAAGAAGTGATTTCTTTTTTTAATCCATGGTCACAAAATACATTTCCTATCTGGACCATCTATAACTTTTTTTTTTAATTCAGGAAACTAAACATCTTATAGAGTCAACAATTATTGTGACAGTGAAAGCATATTCAATTATATCTATTTATAATTATGTTTGTTGTTCCCAATTTAAGAATGACAATCAGGAGCAGTTTAAAATGCATTGGGTTTGTGATGATAACATTAAATAATACACAGGGGAGTAGTTAAGAGTATTTGCTGCTCTTACAGGAGGCCTGGGTTCAGGTCACAGCATCCATGCCAGTGTTGGCTCACAACCACCTGAAACTCCAACTCCAGGGATAGCCAAAGCCTCTGGCCTCCATGGGTACCTGTACTCATATACAAGCACTCACACACAGACATACACACATACACATAATTTTTCAAAATACATCTAAGAATATCATATAGCCTCACTACTCACAACTTTACATTGTACCAGTTGAAATCACACAGTGTTTTACTTTTGAGATTGTGTTAAGCTCTTTCTTACTTTTGTTCAAAAGCATTTAAAACTCCAGAAACATTGCAAAACTAGTATAAAGAATTTCAGTATACCCTCCATCCAGGTTGTTGTCATCCCACATGGGCATTGTCTATCACCAAATCCAGAAGTTAATATTTGTACTGCTGTGTTAACTAAAATATAAACATGTGGATACAATTCATCTTTCTCCCCTTTCCCACCAATATGCTCTGTCAAGTCTAGCATTTGCTCCAGGGTTACACACCACATTTTGATATTGACTACTTAGTTTCTTACAAATTATGAAAAATTCATGATCAAAATATTTTTTATGATTTTGGTGACTTTAATTCTCTCAGCTGACCCCATACCTGAGCAAGATGTAAGAAAGATGTCTGTCGCTTCAGAGATGATACAAATCTCCGCACAATAGGAATTTTCTTCTCAGTTAGGGCTTCTGGTAAGTTTTCCAAGGATGAAACAACCCATTGCTCCCAATTTTTAGCAAAATTTCTTATGTCTGCTAATAAGCTACAAAGAAAACTGTGTTAGGTGCTATATTTTCATTGAATATGCACATTTCATTGGAGATATCCAATTTGAAGCCAGACGGATTCAGCTTAGGGTTGCTGTGGATCATCTTAATGAAATTTTTCCATTTCCTCAAGCTCCAATCCCTACTCTGTTAAATGGGAATAAGAATAGTATCTGACCATTGGGTAGTTTTAAGAGTTATATGAAATAACTGATGGAAAATGTCCTGGTTAAAGCCCAGAATGTAGGTAGTAATCAATAAATACTTTTCTATTAATAACTTATAATTCAATTTTTTCCTATGAAGCACATTTATTGAAAAACTGTGTCAATTCGATGCACCATATTTGGCATCTTGGGAGAGAGAAATGATATTAAATTGATATTATGCATTAAAATTATAATATCTTATACATTTACAGTTAGTTTTAGTAATACATTTTCATCATCCAAATGTAATTTTATGAGACAGATGATCAACAATACACTAGTTATTGACCCAAGTTAGAAATTTTCAAAGATAGTTGTATATATAAGGACACATAAATCTTTATAACTCTAAAATCTTCGTATCTGTTTCACAGCACCAAACTAATATAGTTGGTATTGTTTGTGTGTGTGGAACAGTATAAAAAAGAGTAGGCACAGTTTGAGGTCAAAAGTTTGGCCTCAGAACTCTGGTATTTAGCTGCCTCTAGGAAGTTAAATGAGCTTTCTGCTCCCGGGTTCCTTGTTTGATAGTCTTCGGTTCATAAATTCTATTTCTGAATAATACTTGAGGTTGAGTTTTTATTTTTTATTAATTTTTTATTGAGTGTTTGTACATTTCATATAATATATCTTAATCAAATTTAGACCCCTACCCCCTCCCCACCTCTCATAGCCCCCTCACCAGATGGGTTGAGTTTTTCAAAGTTCCAATTGGTCAATGATAGGAAATTAATTAAATAATCTGCTGTGGTTTCTGGATGATGAAAATTTATGACACCTTTTAAAAAAGAATTCTGAACCATATTTGTTGTCATGGAAGTGCTCTGGAGTAACTGCTACAGTATTTATATTATGCTTTAATATTTTCAATGTATGTATTTACTGGTAGCTTGAAAAAAATGTCTGTGAGATGGTAAGACATTAAAAATTAAGTGAGGTTGATTTTTAAAGTGAATTATGTATGTTTTCATTCCACATAGTAACCATGTCAAATTTATAAGAAATAAATGAGACGATTTATGTAGTCTCAAAGCCTATACTGTATTTAATACAGCTCAGCTGTTACTATTTTAAATACTCATGTGACCAGCTTCCTGCTATTAAATAAACATTTGAATATGTATGACACAGAAGTGTTAGGTGTAACTAATTTAAAGTATAGATTAGATGCTTAAAGAATACCATTGATAATTAAAATAAACTATTTACCAAATCAATGTCAACTTCTATATAAAGAGAACAATCTGAGGAGAAGATGCTAAAAGCAATGTTTTTATCAATGAAGATGCATTTGAACCACATGTCCAGGCCAAAATGGGTTTGTGACTGCAATTATAAAATAACATTATTTTATTAAACTGATTTCTGGGAAAATTTTACTCTTTTTTTCCCTCTAATTTTCTGTATTCTTATACTGAAAATAGCTTTGTGAAAAATCTTCCTGTATTATTTTAGAAAACTATTTGGTCTTACTACTTTGTTGAAAGACAGATGTAATTTCATTATACCACTTCCTGACTTTGTAGATTAAGTTAATCATAGAAGTATGATAACTTAAAATTTTTATTTTCCTTGTAGTTTTCATCCATTGATTAGCCCATGTATCTTCCTCCATCTAGTTTCCACTGAAGAACTTTCTCAGTAAGAAGAAGGTCAGTCATGCTTGAGTACCAACTTTTTACTCTGGCAGTCCTGAAACTGAAGAGCCTTTGGGATTTTATTTTATTCCACTCATTTTATTCATTGATACTCAAGTATCAGGATTGAGACACATCTTTTCCAGGTGACAGAAAGATACAGAAACAGGACAGTATTGTTGATTTAAAAAAATGAATTATGACCTAGTGCTTTTCTTTAGCATAATATATTGGGCAAAACTGTCATTTTTGTCAGAAACTGTCTGGTTTTATCAACTGAACATACCTTTCAGGCATTTCTTGCATTGTTGCAGGAATGAGTACCTCTGTGAGGACCTTAATAAAGCAAAAGGAGGTTAATATAGACCTTTAGAGATGACTGTTAACCACAATACTGGGATTGCAGACCTGTGTGTCACCACCCAGGTTTAGCCAGTGCTGACAATTGAACCTGGGGCCTCTGGTGTGTTAGGCCAGCATTCTGCCCACTGAGCTGCGTCCCCAGGACCAGAATCAATTATTTCTGACATATTTTTTTAACCAATTACTTTTTTTTCTTAGCTTCCTAGACAATAACATAATTCTTTTCTGAAAGTAATATTTTTCTTTAAAATGAGTACATATGCATAACTTTTATGTGAACACATGTGAGAAAGTAAATCAAGAGACTCAGTACTGTGGAGGCCCCTGGTATGAATGACCCATGGACTGGCCTTGCTCATCACATGCTGTTTTATGGACTAGATATTGGCTGTTCTCCACAGGTGGGATAAAGATGTCCCAGAAGCTCAGTTTATGTTGTTCTATTAGCTGGGCTCACTGTGCTTCCCTGGCTGTACCAGGAGGAAGAGGACCAAATTTACTTAATGATATGACAGGAAGTTTTTGCATTGGACCAAAATAAGCAAATCTGTTGGAGGGAGGGGTATGTTTGAAAGCTATTTCTTAGAACAGCTGAGGTACAGTCGCAACAATTCTGGTGTGACAGCCATGTCCTTGAGCCTCGACTCTTCCTTGTGCTCATCCATAGCTGCCTCTCATTCCACTTCCTTAAGTGATTAGCATGTAGGCAGTCAGTGCAAGCTGAATCGTTTCTTTTTAAGTATTAGCATTTATTCAGTAAAAAAATAAGACAGTCCTTGCTCTCTCCTGTCCTTCAGTTTGAGCTTGAAGGAAAGACTGAGAACCGCCTGCACTTAGCCCTGCATTATCTTACCCTGAGAGGAGGAATAACTGAACAGAGGGTGAAAACGTAAGCCCCCTCATTCCTCATCCTAAAGTCAAGCTGTCAATTCTTTGTTTGCAGAGTTGCTTCTAGGCAATCTACCTACCCTTGGCTCCGCTTTTCTGAAAACCTGAGAAATTGGGAAGCAACTAACTTCCTCAACGTGCTTGGGTTTTCTTGCCAACTCAAATTTCTTTTTAAAAAGACTTATTTTGCTTTTCCTTATGACAGTTGGGTGGGTAAATGCAAGCAAACTCACCTTAAAGTGAGAAGATTGCAATATAATTTTGGGCCTCCATTTGGGCCTTCTTCCTACTTGAACAGGGCAGAAAGTCTCTCCTTTCTCGATAAATGTTTGACTAGACATTCAACCAGCCCATCTTTCTCAGAATCACTCTTTGTGACCATTCTGAAGGCATTTGTGGACTCTCATTTGGTTAAGGACAGAGCTGAACAGTAATGCATTTAAGCTAGAGATTTTCAAGTTGTTAATTCTATGAGAGTCCTTAATTCTTCTTTTACCTAAAACACTTATACAATGAAAATTTGTATTACGTTAATCTGAAAACACCTCAGTGGTAACAAAAATTAGTGTATTTTTCATATATTGCCAACCATGTCATATTTTGAATCATTTTTAGCTATAAACAGAAACTGAGTTGGTTTTACTTATTGTAAATGCCTGTTAAAATACATACAATATTAAACATGCTCTATTAATTGCTTGTTTTCTTATCAGAAAAAAAATGATACTATACCACTCCACAAAAAAAAAATAAGTGGTAAATATGTTTCAAGCAAGACTATACTTTCAGGGATAATTCCTGTAGTTTGTTACTAGAGAATTTTCTCTGATTGTGCAGAATATATTTCAAACATTCAGATAGAATGTCAGTTCCTTGAAAAAAATAAAAAGTTCCTATTTGAGACACCCTGAAGAGCTTACCTTATAAAGAATTGAGTCACAAACACAGAAAATGTCAATGATGACAGGATTTTCAAGCAGCGGCAGAAGATGATCAGGCATCCCTTGCCAAAAGTGCAGTAAGAAATGCTGGATCTAACAAGGAGCAAAGAGCACACTGAAGTTGGTAAGAACGGCCGCGAGCATTAAGAGAGCACGAAGGAGCAAGTTCTCATCACTCTCACCTCTTCAAAGTTTCCGTTGATTGCATTGTCCAGGATACACTGGCAGTGAGTCTTGTACATCATTATGAGAGTATCAACCTATTTTAAGGAAGAAAACCTTGACTAAAGCCTTCTTTAAAATTGTCTTTGTTTGTTCAATCTATACACATTTTTAAGCTCTTATTATATATCAGGCATTTTGTTCAATACTGAGGACTTGCAATAGACCAAACCCTTATTTCAAAGAGCTTATTGCCCGGTGAAGGGAGAAAGGCAAGGAAACTGATGATGATCAGATACATGATGGTACGAAAACATTTTCAAAGGTGACTGAAAAGGAGCTATTGGCTAAAACACCTGAATGTTCTGTCCAATAATAAAATGTGCCTTTTCTTGGAAAAATGAACATAAGATGTCCAACTATATCAACTCTTAGCAGAGTTTTATTAGGTGGATGCTTGGAGCAGTGTGGTGTAGCGGTTTCAAGTTTTGACTCTGAAGTCAGCCCTATGCAGTGCCCTGCTGTACTGGGTACCAGGCCAGCATGGCTGCACAAGTTGTTTTGTCTCTGAGCCCAAGTTCTTATCTTAAAATAAATAGTAATGACATGTTATTCCTATGGCATTAAGAAAATCAAACAAAGGAGGATGTGATATGCATGGAGCTGTGCTTGGCACAATAAAGCTTCACTGAATACTCTCTAGAATTAGCAATAGTAGAAAATGATGAATTTACCAAAAGAAAAAGAGTTTAAAACATTGAATGCCCATCATGGACAGACTCTACTTCCAAGTTAACCAGGAATATTTGGATTGCATAGTTTAAAATGTTTAAACAGCTAGTCAGGAGATACAGTTCAGTAGTAAAGTGCCTTAGCATGCCTCAGCACCACATTTTTTAAAATAAAAGTTATAAAAATTTATTGTCTTTGCATGGCATTCTCTAAAATAATGTCTACTATCAGATAATGAAGTAAAATGATGTTTATAAAGAATGCAAGTATACTACAACTAAAATTTAATGTCATAAGACATGTAAATATTAAATAAAAATGAATATTTAAAAATAAAATATTCTAAAATTTGCAATTAAAATCATATGATTTTTAAGCAACTGAATACTCAATCAAAAATCATTATTTTATTGACAGAAATACCCTGCTTATCACTAGCTGTATGATGCAAATAAAAGAAGTGTACTGCCTGATTGGAACCCTATCAACAACATGCTACTTACTGGCTATGTGGTATGAGACAAGCTATTAACATTGATGTGCTTTGATTTTCTCAATTGGGAAACTGACATGACAGATCAGAGACAACACCATAGTGTTGAAATGAGGCCTAAACAAATCAATACCTATCAAGCAATCAGTATATGTTTTTGAAACTGATGAATGTTAGCTCTTTTGATCCCAACAGCAGGTGTGTGATGTGATTACATCCTAGCCTAACGTTTTGTGTTCTATGTTTTATTCTGGGGATAGTAGGCATCTTTGTGGTGTAATTTTCCATGAATAATGATGAAATGCAAATTACCAGTCTCTTTCCAAGGAGTTATGCTGACTACAGGATACCTCCACCTAATAAAACTCTGCTAAGAGTTGATATAGTTGGACATCTTATGTTCATTTTTCCAAGAAAAGGTACATTTTATTATTGGACAGAACATTCAGGTGTTTTAGCCAATAGCTCCTTTTCAGTCACCTTTGAAAATGTTTTCGTACCATCATGTATCTGATCATCATCAGTTCCTTGCCTTTCTCCCTTCACCGGGCAATAAGCTCTTTGAAATAAGGGTTTGGTCTATTGCAAGTCCTCAGTATTGAGGAAAGGAAGTCATAATGATTGTCAAAAATTGACCTTTTAGGACTGTTAGGAACTAGGAAGGGGATCAGTGGGAGGAGGGAACATGAGTAAGTGTGGGTAGGTGGGGAATGAATTTTATCAGTGTGTCTAATTCACATTTGAAACCGTCATAATGAAATTAACTATTTTATACAGTTTACGTAAACTAATAAAAATTGACCCTTTGAGCCCTAACTTCGATTACCATAAAAGTGAGCTCTTTAGGTTCTTTTCATAACTTTACATTTATATCAAAATGTGCTGCTTTAAGATGGGCATGGTGACACATGCCTTTAATCCCAGCACTTCGGAGGCAGAGGCAGGTAGATCTGTGTAAGACTGAGGTCAACCTGGTCTTCATAGCAAGTTTCAGGACTGCTGGGGCTACAGGGAGACTCTGGTCAAAAGAAATGTGCTTTATACATAATTCACAGGAAATTTAAATTTCACTATTAATACTTCATGTGTTCATTTAATATTTACATTTCTTAAGACATTAAGTTTTAATGGTAGAATATGTGAGTTCTTTATAAACATTATTTTACTTGATTGTCTGATAGTAGACACCGTTTTAGAGGACACCAAGCAGAAACAAAGCTCGGCTCCATTATGGGCAGAGAGCATGTGGTGGAGTTAGCCACTGCCTTGAGTGACAACAGCATGATTAGAGAGTGGGCCCCAGCTTCAGAGAGCATTGCTCATTGGGACCGGCTTCTCTCTGAGCATTCTCCACTCTGTCTTGGAGAGACAGGCTTCAGCCCCACCCTCTTTCTCAGAGCTAACTAGTTGCCTCAGGATCTTGCTTTTGGCCACCGGCTAAGAAAGTGGAAGGGCTTGTGCTGTCCTTCAGGAAAAAGAGAGGTACCAGTCCCTGGTGGTCATAAAAGAGTCCACTGGGAATGAACTTAGAGGCTGGAGTTCATATAAGCATATTGATATCTGAGTGAGAAATGATCTGCCAGAATTTCAAGTTGACAGATAAGAAATTCCTTGGAGGGTCACAGAGAAATTGAAATAAGCTCTTGGCAATGTTCCTCACCTCTCTATTTTTCTTTGTCACTTGCCTCCCTTTTTCACTCTTAACAGGCATATTTACACAGTAAATATCTTCCTGGCATGTTTGCATGCACAGAACCCTCTGCACAAAGGTGAGCCAATAATACCCTCCCCCCAAGAATTGAAGTCCCACTGGTGTCCACAGCTGTCCTCACAAGCTGCCACATGTTAACATTTGCTGGAAATTTTTGAAGTATGATGTCATTATTTACAAAGAAAAAAAAATATGATAACCTTGAGAATTGAGATTGAAGGAGAGACCAGAGGGAATGGATGTACTTCCAGAAGTTCACTTGGATTCAAGATTATGAATTATCTTCAGAGCTCCAAGAGTTATGCTTTTTTTTTTTTTCTGTCTTTTTGAGGCAGGGTCTCCCTGTAGCCCCAGCTGGCCTGGAACTTGCTATGTAGACGTGATTGGCCTCCAACTCGAAAAAATCTGCCTGCCTCTGCCTCCCAAGTGCTGGGATTAAAGGTGTGTGCCACCATGCCTGGCCCCAATAGCTATTCTTAACTGGCAAGATATGTCTGTCTTCCAAATGAATCCTGTAGGTTTACTCTGAATCTCTACTTAGCTATCAATAGCTTTAAAAACTAAGTTTCTATTTTTATTTCCTCTTTTTACAAAAAAAGGCATGCTAAAGTAATGCAATTGAATATTAATCATATTCCTATGTGTTTGCAACTCAAAATTTGGCAAATCAATATCCTGACAAAAGTGTTTTCATCAAATGTGAATATAAATGATATTTAGTTAAGTGAAATGTAAAAAGATCATTAAGCTCTGATTCAGTAATGGTACCTACTATTAAACAGCCAATGATTCTCCAACAAATGACTCAAGAAGTGAAGAAAAAAAGATCTAGTGTGAGTTTTATTAAATCAGCATTGGAAACTCATACTGAGGACTATTTATGAACGCAATGGAAACGCTGCTCCCCTTTGTTATCTTATGTAGTCCTTACATTCTCCAAGTGTTCCCCTCGATGCTACGAATACATTTTATCCTAGAGAAATGCTTAGTGGCTATTTATTCAAATAGAATGGAGTTAACAACAACAACAACAACAACAACAAAAAACCACAAAGCCTACAGTTGAGAAATTGCAGGCAATAGACGTATTCTAGTATTTTCTTCCTCAATTCTGAGTTTAAATAAGAAATAATCTTTGGCCCTTTAGGGTTTATTTTACCACCTTCTGATTACATACTATCAGAGAGATGGTAAATAATTAATTGAAAAGTGTTTAATCAATGTTAGTAAACGTTTGTCTCTCCTATAAATCAGTCAATTTTGTTTGATAATACAGATTTCTGACTGCTTCCTGTAAGTGCCATGAGATTCCCAACGAATGGCGATATGGAGCCAACATATCAGAAAATCGATAAAGAAGTGTCTTTAATTGATACCTTGTCCTTAGAAATGCATCCTTGGTACACAAGGTGTTGAGCACTGGGGAATTCTGGAAGAAGTGTTCCCGTTTTGGAGCTAAGCGAATATTTACGAGTGAAACCGCCCTAAAATTAAGAGGAGCATAAAAAGAAATAAATCACAATCAACTAGATGGATCCAAAATACAGCTCTAATAATGAAAAAGAAACTATGAGACTTCAAACCATGGAAATCTTGGAGACTTGGTAAGCTGCTTACACTCTGTAACTGAATAAACCAGACATGGCAGCCAATCTTTCCCCAAGCATTAAATAACTTCACCATCACAATACTTTCCCTCTCATTTTGATTTTAATTTCAAATACTTGTCAGTTTTCACAACTTTTAGAGATTAAATTTGTTTGTATTTGTTAACAGTACTTTTGGTAATTTTGGAATTACTAAAATGACTTTAACTAGGAGATCAAGGATTGTCAAATCCAAATGCTTCATTTACCAATTATATAAATGGAAAGATGAGATTTAACATAGTCTCAGCTGATTGGGTAATCACTGTTAATTTTTATTGAACTCTAAGTCTTCTCATTTCCAGATTGGTAATCTGGAGTTTTCCACATCAACTTTCCCCCGCACTTCAGGTATTTGTTGTTCTTTTACAACTTTCAGGGAAACATACCTGTCACAGTTTTCAGCAAATGAGAAAAAATTGCAAATATACAGTAAGAAATGCTGTAGAGCTGGTGTTCGTAAAGAGGCCTGCACAGGAGGAAGTGCCACTCACAGTGAACCTGGAGCCTCAGGCCAGGACTGCTCCACAAACAGACTTTTAACAAACTTTTCTAGGGTGGTGGTGCAGCTTTGTAATCCTAGCATTTGGGAGGTAAAAACAGAAGGATCAGGACTTCAAGGTCATCCTTGTCTACATAGAGAGTTTGAGGTCAACCTGGACTATTTGAGACCATGTCTCAAAACAACAAAAAGTTTTTTAAAAGAAAAGAACTTTTTTAAATAAGTGGGATTATAATCAAAAGCTTGAACAAAGAATAAAATTGTGAATACAGTAAAAAAGTAAGGTGCTCCTGACAGGGATAGAATGTTATCCTTTCCTAGTTTTCCCATACTTAAGTCTGTATTCCTTGTGTTTCTTTGTTTACCTACGTTATTAAATATGTTTACTTAACTAAAGATATATTCCTGACATACATGAGTTGGGTTCACATTCTATATTGTTATTTCAAAACTTTGTATATCTTTATAGACTTTTCATCATAGAAGAGAAAAAAGTTGGGAAATCCTCTGAGTCCTTAAACATTTAGTACTTTCAAAAATCACTGATTTTATAAAGAATGATTTGATATAACCATTTAAACCAATTTTAATATTAATGTACAAATCCATTTGCTCATAGTTGCCGTCATTTTTAACCTTAACCTCTATTTTCAAGCACAATAAAGATTAAATAAAAATTTTTAAAAAATATTAAAAACTATTAAAGAAATAATCATATGCTTATATAAAAGCAAATTTATCTCAACCCACTCCATTTAATAGGGCTTAATAATTCAGCATATGCTTTAGGTTTTTGCCATGTGTACAAATTATCAGTGGACTGTCAAAGACAGATGCTGTTAATTAGGAAAAATAATGCAGAATGTATGAAAGTAAAAAATTTAATCTTTAAGGGAAGAACAAGATAACAAAATATAAAACCAGTATTTGATGGATTAACAACAAAATGCACCTAAATTCTAATTTTATGACAGTTTGGTGTTTCTTTTATATTCTCTTAAGTGAAAAGTCATATTCATTCAAGATGCAAATGGCAAGAGAGGAAAAGAAAACAAAAGGAGAAAACAAGAATGATGATACATAGCATTACGTTAAATTTCAGGAGGACAAGCTGCTAAGGGAGAAAATAAATCATTGGTCCAGCCCCAGCTTTAAAACCACAACAATGATTGGCAAAGCAATCTACATTGGGGCAGTAGTGGCACTTTTATCTTGGAGGTAATTAACAGCTATCTAATTGGACTTAAAGCCCACTCAATGAGAAGGAACTCATGTGCGTCATTGTTAACATAGACAAATACACATAGCCGGAGAGGTCATAGAGCCCATACATCCGTCAAATCCCTAGACAAATGTAATTTCTTACTGTATGCTAAATATGTACCCTTATATTTACAGGCAAGTATACCAGTCACCACTCATCAAAGAAGCTTCTTCTTGTAACAGATGGAGATTATTACAGAATTCTACAAGTGGTCACACACAGAGAATAAGTGTGAGATGCCCAGCCATAAGTGATACAACTATAATGGAACTTCTACACCTAAGGCTTACAGAATGTAGTGAAACAGGGGTTAGAGAGCATACTAATGCATCGCTCAACTTTGGCCAGTGAAACTTCCTCATGCAACAGAGGGCAATGAACACAGAAGGTCACAACTGGCCAAAGTGTAGAGAATTAGGGACTAGAGAGTGTGTGTCCCTGGATAGGACTCCTATATTAAATCCCACCAATCCAGGGCTTAGGGAGCATGGTGGAAGAGGGGGTGGAAAGATTGTAAGAGCAGGGGTGGTGCATGACCATAAAGAAGCAGAGTCCTCCAGGCTTCTAGGAACTTGCTCATACAAACTTACAGCAATGGTGACACCACACACAAGACCTATGCAAACTCAATCAGACAAAAGCCAACATGGAGCTAGGGAAATAGGAACAAGGCCCCAACATTAGCTGAGGAACTATTGGCAGCTCATCACTGCTGGGTGAGGGAGAGTCAGTCTTTAAGGGAGTGATGCTAGATAGGCTGACCAGGCTCCAGTGGATAAAGTCACACTGAGGGACATCTGGGTACACAAACTTGACTCAATGGGCCTTAGCATATATACGAGAATGCATGAAATCTTGTGGGAGGCTATAGGGAGATACAGATAGGGGAGGGTGTCTAAGTATGATTAAGATGTGTCGTACGAAATGTTCAAAAATTCAATAAAAATATACATTGAAAAAAGTATACATGGAATTTTAGAGAATACTCTCATTTCTAGTAATTAAATAGAGTGAATTTTAAAATCTTGCCAAGCTAGATGTGGTGGTACATGCTGTTAGGCCCAGCACTGGGGAGACAGAGGCAGGTAAATCTCTGTGAGATCAAGGCCAGCCTGATCTATATAGTGAGTGCCAGTTCAGTTGGGGCTATAGGAAGACCTTTTCTCAAAATGACAAAGAAAAACAAAACAAAACAAAACAAAAACTTGCCAAAAAGAAAGAGGACTGACTAAAAGGTATAATGGGTTTTACCAGGAATTCAGGAAACATAATTTAAAGCTTAATAGAATTTTCTCAGAAAACTGAAGAGAAAGACCTTGCCAAATCACTTGAAGGCATATATACTAAAATCAGATGGAAATAGAAAATGAAAGAAAAACTACAGGTCCGTCTCACTCAGCACTATGCTTACCACAGTAGCAGACAAAATATCAGCAAACCAAACTAAGGCATGCTAGTGTTGTTGGGACACAACAGAGCAGTTGCACATATGAACCTATAACACCCACAAGACCTGTGCAAGTCCAAGCCAGACAAAAACCCGGCATGGAGGGGGAGATGGGCAAAGATCCCAGTGCTAGCTGAAGATCTACTGGCACTTGATAGATGCTGGGAAATGGAGAGTCAGTTCTCTTTAGGGATGTGACGCCCGGTAAGCTGACCTGACTCCAAGAGATGGACCCACACCCAAGAGCATTTGGGGAACACAAATTAAGCTCAATAGGCCTTTAAAAACAATAATAGAAGACATGAAGTCAGGGTGGAGTAGTAGGGTGAGGGTGAAAATGGGGAAGACAGCGAATGCGATCAAAATATATGGTATGAAACTCTCAAGAATCAATAAAAAGATTTTCTAAAAAGTAAATAAGTACACAGGTAATTATAAAAGTAAGAGTTTCTGCAGCAACAACTATAACTCTACTTTCTGTTTTTGACATGATTTAGGAGAGAAATACATAAAGAGAAAAACAATTGCTAGTAAGCCATCAGAATCTGGTTGTTATTTCCTCATTCTGAATTATTTCAAAGACTAATGTATCATGGATAGTAAGTATTAGTATGTTTTGAGGCATGTAAAGGCATAATTTTGTGACATAACTGAGACGGATAGGGACAGAGGTGTACAGTAGTAGAGTTTTATGTTACTGAGATTAAGCTGGCATAAATTCAAATTGGAGTGCTATGCCTCTGGAATGCTAAGTATGATACACATGGTAACCACAAATAATGCAGTTATAGAATATGCACAAAAGGAATTGAGAAAAAAATTTTACTATCAAAAAATCAACTAAACACAAAAGTGTCTAGTAATAGAGTACATGAGAAACAACAGCAACAAACATTCAAAAGACAAACACGTAAAGTGACAAAATCATATAAGGTGGTCCCTCCTGATCAGGGACTAGATGTTGATATTTCAAACCAAAAGCTCCAAAGAGCTGACAGGACAAATGAGAAAACATGATGCAACTAAGCACTACCTGTAAGAGACTTAAGTTGAGGGTCTCATACAAGCAGCAACAAAAAGAGGGCAGAAAAGCTCTGCGATGAAGTGCACTGTAAGTGCAGAAGGCTGTGTGAGAAGAGCTATATAGCTTTGATAGTGTACTGCAAAATATATAGAAATTAGAAATATTTACATAGTTATAAAAATGTAAATTAGACTGATAAGAACAGATACTACACGTTAATTAGCAGAGGTGATAAACATTACCATTGATATCTACCCTATGACTTTATAGTGATCCTTTACACAGGTGCCAAGGATCTGAGCGCAACCCGCTATGACTAGTAATAATCAAATACATACAGATTAGAGACGCATGCGCCAACATCTAAGTGTTATTAGCAAAAACAATGAGTCTTTCTATAAGAAACAGTATATTTTAAAATGAAATGGAGATCTTTTTTAAAGGTTAAAACATTCAATTTTATGTCTTATAGGGCTTATACTGAGTACAATACGGTATAACTGTAATAATTCATCTGTAAACCTAGAAATGTACAGCCAATTTTGAAAGAGATGTACCCTAGCTCAGAAAAATGTTATTGAATAGGTTAA